AGTTCTCATGTGGGCAGGCACAGAAGATGTTGAGCAGTGCCTCAACAAAGACTTCCTTCTATCTATCTTAGAAGAGATGAAGAAGGATCACAAAGGTAAGTCTACCTTCTCCAACATGCCAACAGAAGAGCCCACTGCACCTCTCACAGAGAAAGAGAGAGAAGCCTTTGATGCTTGGGCAATGGATCAAGCCGTAAAGGAGTCCCTTAATCCTCACAACCAACAGAAAGGCCGAGGAGGAGAGCCTTCTGACTCCGAAGCTATACTTGCTCAAATAATTACAGAGTGGAAAAGAACTCAGACTGGAACCTTTGAGGTAATTATTCCTTCACCTCCACCATCTCCTCATCATGTACTTACCCCTCCCTGTTCTTCTAAGAACCCCACACCTAGAAATCCTACACCCCATAACACTCCACCTCAATCACCCTTTCAACAGAAATCTCCTTCCCCGTCACAAAAACCATCCTCCAACAGAATACCCCTCCAACATCACACCAGAAAACCCCTTCCAAAGAAAAAACCCCTCTCAAGGAGAACACCCCCTCCCAACAGAAGACCTCTTCTTCAAAATCCAGACATTCCTCACCTTGTAAACCCACACCCTCCAACAGAAACCGTTCTCCTTCACCACCACCCTCTCCTCAACACCAGAGCACCCCCTCCATACAGAAGACCTCATCTCAACAGAACCCCAAATCTGCCACTCCTCAGCAGCAGCAATCCAAGTCTCCATCTAGAGCTGCTACTCCTCAGAGGTCCTCTCAACACTCTGTAGCCTCCAAACCCAGGAAGGAACACATCACTAAGATACTCTCGTCGGATGCTGATAATGATGGGTTTCTCACATCCTCACTTGTTGTTGACCTTACTTCAAAGAGGAAGAGGACACCTCCCAGAGATCCCTCGCCTCCACTTCACGGCAGAAACTCTCCATTACCCAAGGGCATGGTTTTGGAGATGCTAGGGTTTGCTACAGACGAACCCCAAATACCCTTCAGTCAGTTTGTTGCTGCAGCTGAAGAATTTGGTGGTCAAGTGCTGGATGGACTGAATAAACTTGTGGTGATTAATGATAAACATTATGAGGGTCTGACACAGGTGAATACAAATATAAAATCCGGTTTCACTCATATGTCAGATACTCTGTCAACCATTCTTCAGGACTTCATGACCTCATCCAATACCAAGATTGATGTTGTCTCTAATGAAGTGGACACTATCAAGACAGTCCTCTCTTCCATGAATCAGACCTTGAACTCCCAACATATCACCCTTACCTCCCTCTCTCATGCTGTCGAGTCACTACAAAAATCTAATTCCATACTTCATGAGAGGTTACAAGAACTCAACACACTCCGCAGAGAGCATTCTACTCAAGGAAAGCTATTTCTGATTGCAGACAAAGAACGATATCAAAAGATGGTCCTATTAGAAGCCAGCAACAAAGATATCCTCTCTGTTATCCAGAAACAACAAGGGTTGATTGAAGGCCTCACATCTGTTACACAAACTCTGCCAGAAACCCTTGAACAGATTGCCTCTACATAAGCCACAGAATTCCAGAAGCTCTCTCTACTTATTGGTGATCTAGATGATGCCAAAAAGGGGGAAGAGGATCCTCAACAGCCTAAGCCTCGGTCCACCAGAGCCTCTACAAGAGCATCTTCCTCTGGTGAACTAGTTGTTGACCCTGCATCCTATTTTGAAGCTGCCCTCCAAAAGAAAAGGCTAGCTGGTATCCCTAGACCCCCATCTCCACAGAAGAAAGGCACTAAGAAGAAGAAAGCACTGAGCTTTAAGGAATGGAGATTGGGAGGATCTCAGGCAATAACCAAAGTTCAATTTGAAGAAATGAAGCAGAAGATGACACCCACGCAACAACAGAATCTCTATTTGGACAATGATGGTCATGTAAAAATCAGACATGGTGGATCTCTGGAAGAAGCAGAGTTTTGGTACCACAACAGCATCCTTCTAGGGAAAGACATACATGAAGGTGTGCTCAACTACCTCAACCTTAAACTTTCTCTAGTGTAGGTATCCTACCAAACACCAGGAAACCTCACAAGAATCAGAGAAGAGGTAAATGCAAAGCTGAAAAGGCTACAAGAATTGGATGAGCAAGCAAGAGCTGACGCTGCAAGGGCCATTATGTAATCAAATACTCCTGTAAACTATCAATCAATAAAATCACATCTCTGCCTTTCGCTTTGTAAGGCTATTTCTTCCTATCTATCTTTCTGTTCTTTGTCTTATTATGTGCTTTGATTTATTTTCTGCTATCTGAATGTACTGTACTCTTACTATTTTCCTATGCTAAGTTGCCCACCAAGATTTTTAATGAAAGTTCGTATACTTTAATTCTTTTATGGTGAAGGCACTTCTCTGGAAATAGTTAAAGGGTTTTGGCATCATCAAAAAGGGGGAAATTGTAAGGAATAATTGTAATTAGATTTTGATGATGCTATACTAATTAGGAATTTAGAGTACCCCCTCTTTAGATTTAATGTATTAGAAATTTTCCTTGTAAAGTTTGTTAGATTAGTCGACTGACAGAAGACCTCCAAACCGAAGTCCGTTTGGCCCTCTGGTGATAGTCTCTTAACAGAAGTCCTCCTGACTCTCTGCTGGACTCCACTATGGCAGAAGCCCTTAGGTCCTCTGTTGGCCTCTCTCTTGACAGAAGGACTAAAGACCCTCTGGTGACTTGCGTTTCAACAGAAGTGCTCAAGACCTTCTCTGATTGACCTTCTGCTGAAGATACCAGAAGGTCTGACACTTAGAAGCTTTCCGAATACATCTAAGCCGGTTAATTCAACGGAAGATTCTTCAACGGCTAGAAGACTTCAACGGAAGAACTACAGTACGCACATTAAATGCACATTTAATGCCTCCCGAACTATGTAGAGTAAATGCAGATGATTGGTCACAATGTCAGGATAACTTTATCCCAAAATAGTAACCCGACAACTTTGTTGGGTCCTACTGGTCAAGTCAACTGTTCGCGCATTAAATGCAGTTGTCCTCCTTCTCCTCCAACGGGAAGACAAACTCAGTATAAAAGATACTTTAGGAAGAACAACCGGATAACTTTGCTACAAAAAGTGCGAATACAAAAACATTCAAACACTCAAAAACGCATAAGCCTCCTTGAGATTAAATCTTCATCATCTTCTACAAGAGAAGGCAGACGTTGGAAAGATTCTTACTTCCAACTCAAGCAAAGTTCCATTCGTTCTTCAACACTTCAAGCACTTCATCTACAAATCCTTTGTGACGAAGCAAGTTGGAGGAACCCCTGTTTCAACAGAAACTCTTCTTTCACAAGAAGGACGTCCAAATACCTGGAGCAGTGAAGTGGTGATACTTCCGGGAAGCTCAGTGAAAGGACCAGTCTTAAAGGAAGCCAGGAAGTGCATCCCAGGAGACATCTACACTTGAAGAAGACGTGAAGAGCTTCTTAAGTGATAGGACTAAGGCGTTGTAAATGGACGTTTTTACAAGCTTAGTGGAACAGTGGATTAGAGGAACAAGTTGTTCCTTGAACCGCTATAAAAATCCCTGGTGTCATTTACTTACTGCGTTTACTTATTGCATTTAGTTTGAACTGATTAACTACAAAGACTTGGTCTCTGTGTTCAGCAGAACGTGTCTTGTGAGTTAACAGCAGACCTACTGCCTTTGCTTCTCTGAGGCTAATCTGATAGAATCCCTACCAGAACCCCATCCGCTGCCAGTCTATTCTGCCAACAGAACAGGCTATTCTGTTAAATATGGTACTTAGCTTGAAAAAGTTAAAAACCAATACAGTCTATTCACCCCCCTCTTGACTATATCCAGTACAACCGGGACCAACAGATGATTACGGAGAGTCTCAAATGGAAAATATTGTCCAAACAGGGACACAGCAGTGAACAAAGATTCATACTCAGGTCTCAGTCCCATAATGGTAGTTTTTAAAATTTCATGGGGAGGCACAGGGCAATTTATTGTAGCAAGATCATCAGCCAATGTTTTAATTTCTCTCAAATAATTATCCATGGACTGGTCAGATTTCTTTTTAATTTGATTAAATAGGCGCTTTAATTCCATAGATCTGGCCAAACTGGCAGACATAAATCGTGACTCTAACCGCTCCCAAATTGCATAGGAATGTTTTAAATCGCGCACATCGATAAGAACATCCCTAGATAGGGTTGCAAATAACCATGAACGGATTGTTTGATCAATTCTTAACCAAGTAGAAAATTCGGGATTGGGAGTTTGACGGTTAAGAGGATCTATGGAATAGGTAGGGGTACCTGAATTGAGCCATCAACCATGCCAAGTAGTGCTTGTGAGACCAGAAACGATTCAAACTGAGTCCTCCAAGTAGTGTAGTCCTCCATCGCTAGAAGTTTGGTGGTCACGATATTCGTGACATTTGTGGCCACATGTGATATGGTGAGGGCAAGCTCGGCCAAAGGAGAAGGTGTCGGGCTGGCAGCAAGTCCACGAAGAGGATGAAACGTGGAGGAAATACCAGGTGAGCCAACGAAGGTGGTACCGGCGAAGCCGGTGGTGGAGACCGGTGGTGGCTCAAGCGGAACTGGTTGCACTGAAGTCGGGGCCGACCAAGGAAACGCCGGAGGAAAACTTTGGAAAAGAGAATATGGCATAGAGGTCCGACTTGGAGAGGCAAAATTGGAGGTGAAGGTCACGCCGGAGGAGACGGTAGTGATCGCCGGCAGCGTTCCAAAAGATAGTGGAGCGCCGGTCGAAGCGTTGGTGCTGGCGGCGACAGATGTCGGCTGGCTGACGATTTCCGAAGACTGGGATGACGGAGCGGCCATGGTGAAGCGCAACGATCGACGTCGGAAAAACTGAAGGCACGACGGCAAGCAGGCGGCGGCGGCTCTAGGTTTAGCACGCGGCGCCGAAAAAAATTGTAGAGAGAGAGGATCGGAAATTAATGTGCTCTTGATACTATGTGAGAATAATGAAAAGGTTACTCCCTAATGAAAATTGTAGATATATTTATAATAAAGAGAGTTTAATCTCAAGTACACCTCCTCTAATAATTCTATTATTTCTTTGTCAAGCTATCTTCTCTCTAGGCGATGATGGTGATTTCTTGACGGACAAATGGAAGGTTGCTGGTAAGTTTGCTCTCCCTTCTTTCTATCTTTTATCTAATCCCAGCTTTCTTCAGATGCCTCTTTTAATGTTTTCTCCTTATTTCAGGTGACCAAAAGACGATTCCGCTAGAGTTCGGCCCTCAAGCGGAAGAGAGGATGGCACAACTTTTGGAACTTGATCCCGAGGCTCGTCTATATTCATCTCTAGTTACTGAAATTAAAGGTACGGACGTAGAATATCCCGTCATTAATCCCATTCGTGTTGTTTTACGTTGATCTGTCAGAAATATGTCTAAATCATCTGGTTTGTCAAAAGACGGGTCATCTGTTTCTGTAGAAGGTTCTGATAAGGAGGACGATGTTATTAGTGTGGATGACGAGACCAGTATTCCATGTGCGCCAGAAGGTGATCCTTCGAACCCACATATTGCTCCTAATATGCCACTTCCTGCCATAGGTACTAGCTTGTATGTTTCTTAATTTTTTTATACTGTTTTGTTTCTCTGAATACTCATATTACCCCGAATACTAGTATTCCTAGGCCACTGAATCCTCTTGACCCTGCTCACCTGTCATTGAAAAGAAAAAGAATGACTCTTAATGCTTCCCCAGTTGATAGTACCGCTCCTCTGACTACATGTTCTCTGCCTAAGCCTTCTGCCACCATGACCGTTAGTACCCAATTTGTTCCCCCTGTTAAGTTGAATGCTGAATTTTCCGCTGATTTCTGCCGCATGGAGAATGCCTTGCAAATGTAAAAAGAAATGTCCCAAATGTTGTTACCTTCCGGCTTCTCTCTTGTTGATATGCTTTGTGCCTCATCTGCGTTTGCATTTCAGGTTCAGATACGTGTGTTAACTATGATGTCGTGTTCTTTATAAAGTCACTCATTTATATCATTCTCATCAGGGAATCCAAGCCTCTCTAGCTGCTGGAGAACGCATATGAGATTTAGAAGAATCACTGGCAGATTCCAAACAAAGCGAGGAGTCTGCCAAGAAGAAGTTAACCGAGATCGTCCAGACGAAATCGAAGTTGGAGGAGAAGGTGATTTCCCAAGAGGAAATCATCAACAAGCTGAATGCGGATCTGATAGTTCAAGCTGTGGAGCTTAAAATTCAGGCTGCTAGAATTAAGTCTCTGGGGGATTATGGGAGGAGAAAAAGATAGGAAGTTGTTGATGCGGCTGAGTTCTATGCTTGGCAGACTAAAAAGGATCTTATGAGGTCCTTTCTCGCAGGTGAAGCTGACAGGTGGAATCTCCAAGCTGACATTGACACTTGGGACATGTACTTCGAGGGCACTGAACCTCCTGTTGGTGATGACAGATTTGAGCTGGGCACTTGCCATACCGAAGCCGACTTTGGTCCCTCAAATCAGCCATGATTTGTTGTCTGTTTCTCTTGTGTTCGAACACTTTTCTTTTGTCAATCTGTTTAAACTTTTAACTTTCTGAATGTCACATTTTGGACCACATCGACTGGTGGTTTATCCAGGGTTCGGTGGTCCTGTTTTTATGGTTGTCTTTGACAGCACTTCTTGACTGTCTATATGTGCTGAATGTTTTACATGTCGACGTTTGTAATATATGTACTATTGTTTTGGCCAAAACGTGTCAGGCGCTTGGGTTTGTTTTTCATATCCAATTTATGAATGACCCAGGCAGACCTTATTGTCCCTTTCTGATGTTGTCAGGGAATGTGTATAGGTGCCTTCAGTAGGCGTGTTTAATATTCATAACAATGCTTCTAAATGTGTTCATTATTTGACATCCTGCATGTAACCATATCATCAAAGTCTGGTCGTTGGCTTTTAGCCAATGACCCTCCGCATACTTAAGTTAGTAAATTAAGAATCGTGAACAAATATGTGATATCTATAATACCAATCATACATTATTTAAGGGATGACAGCTTTATTGGATGGCATTATACTTCGGTGATTTTGAGAAGGCATCACACATGTTAATAAAGCTACTGATAATAGAATTTTAGTTCATAGAGTACCTGCAATACTTCATCAATTTTCATCATCTTTCCTGTTTTCGGTCGACATCTAAATTATGACTAAGTTGGCCGTTGGCTTGAGACTAACAGCCCTCTAACGGTCAAGTTAGTAAATTAATGAAGACAGTTTTAAATATGTGAAATTAAATCAGAAATGAAAAGGTTTTAGGTTTACCGCATTCCAGCTCCTTGGGATTTGCTTACCGTCGGTGGACTCCAAACGATATGCCTCATGTCCGATGATGTCGACGATCTGGTAGGGGCCTTCCCAATTGGGACTGAATTTACCACTTGCCTCGTTGCCGAACGACTTCATGAGCACCCAATCACCTTTCTTGAATACCTTGGCCCAAACGTGTTTGTTGTAGCTTTTCGGCACTTTTTGTTGATATGCAGCCATTTGGATTTTCGCCTTTTTCCTTAATTCGTCAATGGTGTCGAGGTCATGCATTAATTCCACGTTGTTCCTTTCTTCTGTTATGAACCCGTATCTACATGATGGAACTTTGACTTTAGTTGGAATGACTGCCTCGCAGCCATATACCAGGGAGAAAGGTGTCTGCCCGGTAGCATTCTTTGGTGTCGTTCTATCTGTCCACAAAATCATGGGTAACTCGTCGGCCCATCTTCCCTATGCCTTGTCAAGCCTCTTCTTCAAGTTTGCCACAATGATCTTGTTGCTTGATTTGGCCTGTCCATTTGATTGAGGATATCAGGGTGTCGACATCACCAGCTTGATGTTGTATGCTTCACAGAATCGTCTTGTTTTTAGAACTAATGAACTATGACCCGTTGTCACAAAAAAATTCTGATGGGATACCAAATCAGCTCAAGATGAACTCTTGATGAAAGATATGACGTGGACGTCCCGAATCTGACGGAAAGTCTCAGCTTCAATCCACTTTGAGAAGTAGTCCGTCATTGTTAGCATGTAGACCTTCTGACGGGGTGCTTCGGGCAGCTTCCCGACGATATCCATTCCCCATTTCATGAATGGCCATGGTGACAACACTGGATGAAGCACCTCTGGATGTTGGTGATGAACAGGTGTGTGCCTTTGACAAGGTTGACAAGCTCGAGTATAGACGACAACACCTTGCCTCATAATTGGCCAATAGTAACCAAATCTCAAGGCCTTGTTAGACAAACTTCTGCCAGCAGCATGGTTACCACATTCCCTTTCGTGGAGACTTTTGAGCACATTGTTGGCCTCGTGTGATGTTAAGCATCTTTGGTATGGACCTGCTATTGAACGATTAAATAATACACCATCAATTAGTAAAAATTTCGTTACCTTAGACATGAGTGATTTTGCTTCCCGCTTTTCGGCTGGAAGGATGTTGTATTTGAGGTAGTCTATGTATGGTTGCATCCAATTGTTGTCCGCAGCCGATTCAATGATGTTGACAGATTCATATTTTTCGATGGCTAGTTTCATCAAATGAATGAAAGGTATGTTGCCGTTGCTTTCTGCCCCTATACATGATCCGACTGGTGCTAGAGCATATGCCTGCGTGTTTTCTTCTCTTGGGACTTACTGAAAAGAGATCTCATCAAAAGAGGCCGCCAATTCCGTGATGACTTGTAGGTAAGCCGTCATCTTTGGATCCTTAGCTGCATAAACTCTGTTAGTCTGATTAATAATTAAAAGAGAAGCACACTTTACCTCGAGTATTTTTATGCCCAGGTCTTGTGCCAAGCTCAATCTGAAGATTAATGCTTCATACTTCGCTTTGTTATTTGTTGCGTCAAAGTCACAACGGACAGCTTGCCGGATGAATCCCCTTGTGGTGACTTCAGCACTACTCCCAGTCTTGCCCCGTGCATATTTGAGTCTCCGTCAGTATGTAGCACCCATTTCTGTCGAGGTTGGCCTTCTATGAGTAGATAGGTTTCCCTCTCAGCCTCTACTTGTAGCTTAGGGCTGAAGTTTGACACAAAATCAGCTAAGCATTGTGACTTGAGAGCTGTCCTTGGTTCATATCTAATCTCGTATGCCCCCAGCTGTATTGACCATTTTGCCATCCGGCTTGTCAATTCTGGTTTCCTTATGATTGACTTCATGGGATAGTTAGTGCAGACACAAATACTATGTGATTCGAAATAAGGGCGTAATTTAATGGATGCGGTAACTAGTGCTAATACTAGTTTTTCTAGAAGCATGTACCTTGATTCTGGTCCATTTAATGACTGACGTAGTAGACTGGATTTTGTTGTCCATCTTCCTATCTATTCAGTACTGCACTGATGGCATGTTCTGACACGACCAGATATAGTGGAACCTCTTCGTCATCTTTAGGTTTGGCCAACAAAGGAGGTGTCTTCATGTGATGGGATATTAAGGTCCGGCCCAATACGGCGGCCCAAAAATATCCCCGAAGCCCATACGCAAGGGAAGGCCCTAGGAAAATCATCAGGCCCGAACGGCAAGCCTCGTTCGGCACATCCCGAACGGGGTATAATTAGCACTTCGGAAATTAGTTTATTCCCTAATTGATGGCTTAGCTAGGCTTAATCCCGAACGAGAGTTAGTCAAGTGACCGACTGCAGTTAATGTTGGATCATGGAGGCCTCAAGTGGCATGGGAGGCAACCAATCATATTAGAGCATCCCATACCCCCCCCCCACATACCTCCATCTAGTATAAATAGCAGCATTTAATTCATTGTAAGCGTTAGATTTTGTTTACTCACAAGCTTATATTGCATTCTAGCTCTTGTATTAGCCTTTGGACCGTAACTACCGTTTGACCATTTCCGTGTAATCACTATTACTGCGTTAATACAAGCAAGACTATTTGCGTGAATCTATCATTTTTTATATTTCTTTTATACACGTTACTGTAACAATCCAACCCTAGATCCAAGGTTAGTGTTGGGCTTTCGGGACTTAACCTCAACATCATGTATTCCTTCAACTATTGGAGTGTTTTCTCATGTTGTTCTATCCACTCGAATTTTTTGTTCTTTTTGAGGACGTCATAAAACAGTCGGCACTTATCTGACGAGTTGGATAAAAAGCGGTTGAGCGCAGCAACTCGCTCAGTCAGCCTCTGGACATCTTTGACGTACTTAAGTGATTCAATGTCGAGGATGGCTCGGACTTGTTCCGGACTTGCTTCGATTCCTCGTTCGCTGACAATATAGCCTAGAAATTCACGTGACGACACCCCAAATGTGCATTTTGCCAGGTTGAGATTTAGGTTGTATTCCTTTAGCTTTCTGAACGACTCCCGCAAGTGGTCGATATGGTCTTCTGCCTTCTTTGATTTGACCAGCATGTCATCAATGTAGACTTCCATAGTTTTTCCGAGTTGATCTTTGAACATCATCGTGACAAGTCTCTAGAAGGTTGCACCTGCATTCTTTAAACCAAAAGGCATGATAATATAACAGTACATACCCGTCTCGGTGATGAATGATGTCTTCTCTTGGTCATTTGGATGTAATTGGATCTGATGATAGCCGCTGAATGCATCCATGAATGACAACATCTCGTGCCCTATCGTCGTGTCTGCTAGCGTGTCGATGTGCGACATCGGGAATGAATCTTTTGGGCACGCTTTGTTCAGGTCGGTGAAGTCGACGCATACTCGCCACTTTGCCTTCTTGCGCATCTTCTTCCTTTTCCGTTTCTGTACGACGACGACATTGTCCACCTAGTCAGGATATTTAACTTCCTGAGCTTTGTTAGTGCGTAGTAATATTTCAATCTCCTGGTTGACAATGTCGTTCCTTTCTATGAGAAATCACCTCCTCTTCTGTCCAACGGGCTTGTGTGACCTATTCACATTTAGCCTGTGAGTGATGATTTTTGGGTTGACCTGTATCATGTCGTCATGACTCCAAGCGAAGACATCCTTGTGCACTTTAAGGAAGTCGATGAGCTCCCCTCTAAGATGTGACAACATGTTCCTTCCGATGCGGACGACCCGTTCTGGATGCTCTGGATCGATGACGATATCTTCAGTCTTGTTGTCATCCTCTTCCTCCAGAATGGTGTCGCCCTTTAGTTGTTATGCTGATGCGGTTGGGATTGAAGTCGACTTCATAGCGGTCTCGTAACATGACTTGGCTGCAGTTCTATCTCCTTGGATGGACTGCACCCCCCAAGGGGTTGGAAACTTGAAGACCTGATGATATGTCGACGGAATTGCCCTCATCTGATGCAGCCAGGGTGTCCCAAGTATCATGTTGTACGCGGGCAGGTCTTGGACCACATCAAATTTAACCTGCAAGTTAAGACCATTGGTGTAAACGGGTAAGTATACATTACCTATTGTGCAACTGGCTCGCCGTTGAATCCAACCAAGTTTGATCCGCAGTTCATTATGTCCTCTTCTTTGTAGCCCATCTGCCCTAACATCTTCATAGTGGTGATGTTGGCGGTACTTCCATTATCGACCAGGAGTCGCCTCACCTCACAATTGGCCACCCGGGGCGAAATGTCTAGAGCGTCATGATGGATATCAGCAGGATTTGCCATGTCAGTTTCATCGAACGTAATCGACACGTTCCTCCAACCGTCTTCGCATTTGACTACTCGTCACACCTGCGATGACTTGTCTCGGGAGTACTCCCGAGCATGTCTTTTTGCTGAAGAGTATGTTAGTT